AAATGTGATTTTCTGTGGAGACCCAACTGCCCTTCTCGGGCCTTTGAAAAGGCTGAGTGAGCCTTTAAGCAAAAGGCCTTTTAAGCAAAAGCCTTTGAAAAGGCTGAGTGAGCCTTTAAGCAAAAAAAAAAAGTAGAGGTGTGGGTCATGCCTCACAGAAAGTGTCACTCCTTCAGGGACTCAGAAGTTGTACTGGCCCAATGCCAAGAGTCTAAAGTGACTCAGAGTTAATAGAGACACACAAGATTACCACAGCATTTGCACCACCTGTTTTGAAAGTCAGCCAATCTCCAGCCATTAGAGCAGTTTCCCCAGGGAAAGTTCTATTCCCAGAACACAGTACGTAGCATGCCCACAGGCTGTGGTCCACTCAGTGGTTTCTGAGGTATGGAAAGCAGATGGAGAGATTCCTTGTATCAGTTTCCCCCCAATGCCGCTCTGTCGATGCCCACTTTCTAAAATCTACTACCTGTGAACTTAAATTCAGTTGGCAGGAATATCCCCAATAAGGCCCCCTTTGGTGGACTGCAAGAAGCCTTAAAAAGTGAGTGCAATGTGGCATCAATTAAATGAAGTTGCAAGCAGCAGGCCTGTGGATGCCCTGACACCAGCAGGCAGCCTCCAGGCACCACTACTGCAGTTTCCAGGGGGAAAATACTCTTCATGGGGCTTTTAGGCAAACCTGGGAAGAATATGTGCTGCTTTCCAGGTGTTTCAAAGCAGCTAGATTCCAACGCACCAGAGTGCTAGCAAGGTTCTGGCTCTTAACCAGTACTGGCAGGCCAGTGTCACCAGCACTACACCCACTGCCCCAAATGCCATTCGGTGTTCAGGCCCAAGGAGGGAATGGTGGAGGGACTAGTGCTGGGTGCAGAGGCTTGTCTACAGTCGGCGCTGCACAGCTTAAGTCCACGTAAAGGAGAAACCATCCCTCAGAGGCAGCTTTCTCAGGCCTCAACATTGCAAATCTGCCTAGTTCCAGAGTTTGCTTTTAGCAAATTCACTGGGCAAATCAGCTATAAAGCTGTGTCTTACAGCCCGGCCTCCATCAGCAATGTGGACATCACCTACCATCTTTTTATTTCGCAAATGGTCCAGACCATGCTCAGGACTGCCAATAGCTCCGAGCAACTGCTCAGAGCTCGATTACAAAGCCTGATGAGAAGTTGAATGGAACCTAGTCAAGGTGGCTCAGCAGATAAATCTTTAAAAATCAAGAGGATGGGGCACCTGGGTGCCTCTTTTGGTTAACCATCTGACTCTTGGTCTCAGCTCAGGCCTTGAGCTCAGGGTCATGAGTTCAAGCCCCGCATTGGGATCCATGCTGGGCTTCCTATTAAATAATAAAATTAAATTAAATTAAAATAAAATAAAAAATAAATAAAATTAAGGACTAATATAGTATCCCCTTAGAATCCCTAACACCTCCTTAAAAAAGCCCTACATCTCTATCTGAAGACAGAGATTAAGTAAATCAGTAGTTAGGCTAAAATCTGTGCTTCCTTAACTATCTGAGTGCTAGGAATATTTTTTTTCAGGCATATATAAACAACGAAAGATTCTCTCATATACAAATTCCAGGGGAAAGCCTAAAATTAGTAAATTCACATGAAAGGTGAGAAAATGGAAATGGACTGTACAACTCTATTCAATTAGAGGCAATTTTAGATAATTTTATTTATCTGTCAATTTATCACCAATATCTAACATTAATGGTTTTGCTACATTTGGATAAGCACATGAGAAAGAATGTAAATTAAATACCATGAAAGTTGCCTTTTAATGAGTCATGATCTTAACAGGATATGGATTTATAATTTTAGTGGTTTTATTGCATTATTAAAAAATTATATAAAAGATACAAAAAATCAATAGATATTATTATTTCTGTTTATTTCACCATCAGTATGCCAACTTTTACCATTATGGCTTTAAATTTTCAAACTGCCCAATAGATTTCAAGGAATAGTTTATTACATGCCTAATAAAACACTTAAAATATTTACAGATTCAAAATAGATGTTCCAAAACTGAAAAAAGTTCACCTGAGAATTCGTTATAGCATTGCCATTTGATTTTTTTTTTCCCAAGTTGTTAATGTGGCTAAGTGTCCACATGCAACCTGTATCGTCTACTGCATCAAATATATTTAACTCCTTATTTAAAATTGGTTAAGCGTTAAGCTATAGGAAATGATGTTATTAAATTTACAGATGGAGAACCAAGATTTAATTTATAACCATATTTGTTCTGGATGTAACAATTTAACAACAGATTATTTGCTATAGCTGTAGAATTCAAACAATGAAAGCAATTTTAAGGTAATGTTACTTTACTGAGTTAGAAATAAGTCTTTCAAAAATCATCAAGCACTGAGAAGGACAATTAATAAAATAAGGAACAATGATCACGTAAATATGCCATATACAAACTGAAAACCACCTTTCCAAAATTCTGCATGAAGGAAAAGATATACACTGTATATACATAATCCTGTCATTTGTCCTCTTCGGCAGCCTTAAAAAAAAAAAAAAAATCAAAACAAACCTTAGAAAAAACTTCTTTAGAAGTTAATGTTAAAATAGGCATAATTGTGTAATGCTATGCAATATATAGAAAACTTCCCCACCTTAGGGCCGAAAAACAAAGATAAAATCTTTTCTCTCTCTGTCCCTCTGTATTACAATTTGAAAATCATGTAGGTATGAGGTAGTGTAGTTACTTGTATTACATGCTGGCTATTAAAAGTAATGCTATGTTTTACAAAATATTACACTTGGCCAATAATCAGAATATCATTAAAATAAACCCTTAATGCTAAGCTGTTTATATGTAGAGAGAAACTTAAACCAAGTGTCTTAAAAATCATATTTAAATTCTGGAGACAACTAGGTTGTATCATAAAATATTAAGTAACTTTCAAAGCAGTTATTTACAGTAGCAAGTAAATCAAAAGGTTATGTGACATTTGCACATACACAAACTGATATGACAAACAGCTGAGTGTATACTGAGGTAGGAAATCCAGGATTCCATTGGTTTGTATAAGATTTTACATTTTGTAAACCGGAAAAGTTTTTATATTATACTTTGCAGTCAAAATTTAAAATTACAAGTATCAAAGAAATAGCTACATGGGGATATTATATAGATAGGGTATACACACACAAGTCTTTTGTAGTATGGGATGCATTATCATAGAATTACTCTCCCTGACAAGTCCTTAAGTGTACTTATAAAAGCCTCTAGAAAATAAGCAAGCCAAACTAGTTTTCTTTTACAACTAAGTCAATAACAGAGATAACATACAACCGCGGAAAATATACTAGCAATATCTCCCCCAACCACCCACCTCCCCGTTGAAAAGGGTAACATTTGACAAAATTACTCTGAAATATTAAGTCTGGTCCCCATATGCTGTCAGGGCAAAGGTCTACTTGCTTCAAACTCACTCCTGCAGGATGGACGCTTGTCTCCCATGTTAGCTACCCGTGTCCTTCACTAGACTCAGGACGTCAGCGATAAAAGTCTCTCCGGTATCTGATCTTGGTGAAATTCAGTACTTTCCAATCCAACACGATAAATTACTCCTGTGCACCCTTTAAAACTGGGCTCTGCAAATGTTTCTGCCAATGTGAATATATGCAAGTTTTAGAAAAAATTGTTGAGAAGGTTCATAATCTATAGGTTTATTTGACTTTCAAACAAGCCTGTAACATGAGAATGGCTAAGAACCACTGCAAAACATTATGGGTAGGTGCTGAGATTATAAAAGCTTTATTTTAAAACAGGACTGAATGAACACGAAGACCGATCACAAAATGCCCAAGTCCAAATGATGGGTGTGCCCTTATATACCAGATTTGGGGAAGAGAGAAAGATTAAATCTGGTTTCCAGATTCAAACCTACCATGGAACAAGACTGAATTTCATCCTATTTCACAAACCTGTATGGTTGTTTGTAGATACATTCTTATCTACAATAACGCTTTTTGCAAGTAAACCACAGGACTTCAAAAACAGGTTGAAAAATGAACTGCCACTCCTGATGAACATAAGCGACTTTCTTTCCCCATGGTGGAAAGACGTTGGTTTTCCCGCGTGGGTGACCTGCAGTGGGAAGGCCAAGAGCTGTGGGTTTCGGTAAGCTCTCCAGGAGTCCAGGGAGGCTGCAACGACGCTGCCAACGCGTCCCCTTCAGCCACTGTATCCCAGTCCTAATTCTTCCAAAAGGACAAGAATGTCAGGAAACAGAGGGATCACGATGGACCCAGATGTGGTAGAGACTGCAGAGGAAAAAGGAGGGAAAACGACACTATCTACTGCTTACACAGCCAGAACTTCTGAGGTCGACACTGAAGAGGGGCAGGAACCTGTGCCGTGGGCCGTCTCCTGCCTACTCCCAGCGGAGCTTAGGAGTCGCACTGCAGGCCAACCTGTCCTTGGTTTTAGTGGGAGAAGAGCAAAGCTCCAGGACTCAGGCAAGACACTGTCTTTCTCACACCGCCATTCTGCCCGTTCTCCTCCCTTCGCTGACTTCAAGGCAGAACTGGGCCCCATCGGCATTACTTGGGGAGGCATCTTCGTTTAAACCAGCGCGGTGCAGTCAGGTCTGACGACGGAGGCTTCGCGGGCTACTTCTTCAGGAGGAACTCTGCCAGTGTTTCAGGCTCTTACACTGTTGTCTGATACGCTGCTTGCACGCTCACATTTACTTTGCATACTGGGAAGAGTTACTACTCACAGTTATTATTCCTTAAAACATGAACTTTGAAAGCCTTACTGCATTTTCACAGGTGGCTTTTCGGGATCCAGGAGGCATGTAATTTCTGCGTCTCGTGGAAATCAAGGAAAAACCAGGATTGACTGCCGAGGAGTTCCCTTAACAGCAAACTACCAGGGGCAAAACACAGTGTCGTTAAGAGACAGAAGCGATAATATGCTTTTAAGACGTCGCAACTGCAGTAGAAAATGAATGGCGTGAAGGACAGGAGTGCAAGTTACTCGTCAGTAGTACATTTATCGGTCATCTGCTGGCAGAAATCAGAGATGCCTCCCCCCTGCCGGCCGGGTTCCCCGGGCCCCGCTTGCTCAGGTGCGGCACGGACAGCCGGCCGGGCCTCCGGGCTGGGCGCACAGCCCACCGCCCCGCCGCCCTGCGCACCGGGATGGTGAGGGCTTGGCTCGCAGGCGGGCGGCCCTGCTGGGGGCCCCTCAGGCGAACTCAAAAGGGATGGTAACGCATGTTCACCATCAGGAGTACTTTTTTCTTTTTCAGAAATTAAGAATGAGAGCGGGCAATCTGAAGCTGAGTACTTGGCGAGTATCTGGATCTGTTCTTGACTCAGAGCTGCCTCTTTACAGACTTGCTGGCACAGCCCGGTGAGGTTCTGCTTCGTCTCACCCAGAGTTGACAAAATGTGATCTCTCTCCTTCAACAAGCTCTCCTTTTCATTTTGCTGGGAGGTGGGAGAGAATGCAACGACTTGTGTTTAGTAGCTCAATCAACATTTCTAAGGTAATCAAACATTCGTATCTACTGTTGTCTTCTCATTAAATAAGAGCACATGGAATTTTTACTTTCAACTCAATTCAAAAATCTATTAAGTACCTCAGAGGCCTATGATCCCTCATCCAAAACTCTGAGGCCTAGATATATCTCGGGATTCAGAATTTTTCAGATTTCAGGAAGACAATGCAGATGCACACATAATCCCTCTAGCAGGGTCTGGGGCAGTACCCCACTGTCAAACATCTTCACATTTCTAAATAAAACACATTCTCAAATTATGCACAAAGTGGGAGAACTGATGTCAGTCTACATCAGTTTTCTGGTCAAAATAGTTTATGACAAACTTGCCAAGATTTCAGACCTTTTTGGATTTGCAGATTGTACACAAATGTGGACCTGACATTTGAGATGGAATACAACCAAAAAAAAACACAAGTGCACTCATCATAACTACTGCAACTCAAATCGTTGCAGGACCATTTGTTGAACATTTACTTCATGCCAGGTATTGAGCTAAATGCCTTCAGATGTGCGATCTCAACTATGTCATCCACACAATGACTCCGTTGATTTAAATACTAATGAACCCATTTCATAGATGGGACTCGGAGTGTAACGTGACCAGAGTCAGAAAGCTAGTGAGTGACTAAAGTGTGAAGAATTTGGGGAGGAATTTTGTGTTTCTTAATTATTATTTTTGGTGCTGTTATTATTACTATTTAATTTTTTTATTCCTACAGGAAAGTCGACCACAGAATGTTTTCAAAAGTTTTCCCGGCTTCTGCCTTCCTGTCCACCATCACTTGTGGCTGCTACGTGTCTCTTTCCATCACTGTCCCACCTTGTCCTTCCTATTCTACCACTGTACTGCTTCCTACCTAGTGTGAGCTAGGAAACCAAATAAAAAAGCTACTTATAAATTAAGAGTAAAGAAAGTTGATAGAAGATCAAAGGTTTCTCCTGTGCAATTTATGACAACTCTCTTGGCTTTCTGCTCACTGGCAGGCTCTGGAGAGCAGAAGAGGTTGCAAGCTAACGTTTAGACAGTTTATTTCAGAGTGATAATCCACAATGACCATCCTTTAAACAGATTCTTTTCTGGAATAAAAAAAAGCTAGAAGGGTAAAAAGATATTTACTTTATACAAAAGTACTGCTACTGTTTTACGTAAAAGTTTTTCTACAAAAATTACACGTGAATCCCAATTACTGATAGTTTTTAAATATTTCAAGGCCATCTAATATTTTGAGAAAATGTGCAGTGACTATAAAGTACTAAATTTTTAATTTATTTTATTTACTTATGAGACAGCATGAGCAGAGGCAGAGGGAAAGAGACAAGCCGACTCCCCGCTGAGCAGAGAGCCCGACGTAGGGCTTGATCCTGGGACCCTGAGATCACAACCTAAGCCAAAGTCAGACGCTTAACCAACTAAGCCACCTGGTGCCCAAAAGTACTGAATTTTATATTGTCAACTATTCTCCAATTTGTTCAGATTTTTATACAATTGTTCTGTTTTGAAAAGATAGGTATAGGTTAAGAATATATATATTTTTATATATATATAAATGAATAAATAAATAAAACCAAGATCAATGTTCAACAGTATATTTTTGGTTACAGAAAGTTTGTCAGTTGCAGGCTTCTGATAAAATGAGTCCACAGGTGCCTAGAGGGCAAGAACAGAGGCTACCACTACCTGCCCAAAAAGGAACACTTTTTTTTTTTTTAAGATTTTATTTATTTACTTGAGAGAGACAGACAGAATGCACAAGTGGGGTGAGGGGCAGAGGGAGAAGCAGGCTCTCCGCTGAGCAGGGAGCCCAATGTGGGACTCGATCCTGGGACTCCAGGATCATGACCTGAGCCGAAGGCAGACGCTTAGCCGACTGAGCCACCCAGGAGGCCAAAAAGGAACGCATACAGTGCAATCAGCACCCACTTCTTTTTATGGCCTCCCAGAAGCCAATCCAAATGAGGATGGAAACAAAGCTTCCAGAAGAAAGTAAGTATTTTTCCTGAGTCACAATACTCAGCCATGGACTCCTCTATCAAAGTTGGATGAGTCTCCATTCTAAGCAGAAACAGATGAAATGGTTTTTGTTTTTTGGGTTTTTTTAAGATTTTACTTATTTATTTGACAGAGAGAGATTACAAGCAAGGCGAGTGGCAGGCAGAGGGAAAGGGAGAAGCAGACTCCCCACTGAGCAGGGAGCCTGATGTGGGGCTTAATCCCAGGATCCCGGGATCACGACCTGAGCAGAAGCCAGATGCTTAACTGACTGAGGCACCCAGGCGCCCCCAAGAGATGAAGTGTTAACTGCTGATTGGTCTTTTAAATGAAACATGGCTAAGCAAATTAATGAATGTTCAAGCTTTCTCCCAGAAATCAGAATTGCTACTAAACCTACAGATACTACAAAGATGACAAATATTTTGTAACTTCTCTATCTTTAGACAAACACTGATATGACCTTAAATATTCTCCCTACCACTATCCCACTAAATAAAGGGTGACATGACTATACTCTCTGTGTGTCCCCAACAGGATGCGTGCTTCTTTACAACTAATACCAACAGGTACAACCCTGGAACTCTACAAATGATTAGTTCTATAAATTAAATGCTCCCAGCTGTTCCTCTGAACTTGAACTCCTACATGAATAAGTTTCCAGGCAGTTAGCTGATTTTTCCATTTCACTCTAATTTTAAAACACAAATATACTTTGATAATATTCATTAAATAAAAGTAATTCAACTTAATCATTTCATGATATCTTATTAAAGGTACCTCCTAAACATAGTCACTACCAGCATCTATAATATTTTTTGCCAATTCTACCTATTTCTACAATGTATTTTAATTTTCCTGTATACACCTGTTCTACAATATGTTTCTATTTGTACAATATACCTATTTCTAAAATATATTTTACCTAATTCTACTATACATTTTAATTTTTCTACCTATTTCTATTATATATTTTAATTTTCCTATAATACAATCGTTTAAAGCACAAATTTGAGCTACTGTGGCTTTAACCACAGATGTGTAAGAAAAATAAAACTGGTGTTCTGGTGCCATTCTGCATTTTATGACAACAAATTTACATCCAAATCCACATTTTCAATAGCTAGTATGCAATATTCACTCAAACATAAGAAGTTTAAAAAATACATTTTACTGTTTTATTATGTTGGTCACCATACATCATTAGTTTTTGATGTAGTGATCCATGATTTTAAATATAACTCATCCAATGAATGAAGGAATGAAAGAATCTGGCACCAAAAGGGCTAGCTGACAGTGACAATTTTTTAGGTTAAAGAGTACTCACTACTAGGAAATGGTGATTAATGGTTCCTTGTGATGTAACACGTCTAAATAGACAGTTCGGGGAATATACAAGTGGCCTTTAAAAGCATAAATACAAATGCTCAATTTCACTCATAAGAGAATCAAAGATAAAAGTCACCATGAGATACCAACTGTCACTACCAGACTGGGAAAAAACCCAAAGCTGACAACAAACTCCTCGCTGAGGCTGTGGGCAGACAGATACACAGATGCAGCTGTGGGAAGGCAAAATGCTACAACCTCTACTGAGCAGCATTTATTCGTATCTAACAAAATTACATATGCATTTACCCATGATCCAACAATCCCACTTCTAGGAATCCATCCTAAAGACACATCTCCTTAAACACGAAAAAAAAAACGTACAAAGTTATTCATTGCAGTGTCCCAAATGTCCACCAATAAGAAACCGGTATGGATACTGTGCTACAGTCACAGTTGAAAATATGGAGCTGTAAAAGGAATGACAACCTCGGGGTGCCTGGGGGGCTCAGCTGGTTGGGTGTCTGACTCTTGACTTTGGCTCAGGCCATGATCTCAGGGTCATGGGATCAAGCCCCACAGCAGGCTCTGTCTGAGCTCAGTACAGAGTCCGCTTGAGATTCTCTCCCTCTCCCTCCGCCCCCTCCCCATCACACTCTAAATGAATGAATGAATGAATGAATGAGAACCTTTTTGAACTAGGGAAAATATTTCCTGGAAATCACTTCTTCTCCCCCCTCCCAGAAATCACTTCTTAAGTGAAAAGAGTGAAATATAGAAAAGTATATATAGAATGTTTATGTAGCAGAAAGAGTACTAAGAATAAACATAAAATACCTGTTTTTAGAAAAGAAACACAAGGAAAAAATTCAGAGACTAATAAAAAGTCACCCATAGGAAACAGCTATAAATAGGGTATAGGGAGAGAACGGGATCAAGACTTTGGAGTATAGCTTTTTTTAAACATAGTTTTAACTTCTGAATCATATCAATGTTTTATATATGCAAAAATTACACAAAAGATGTGAAGAGTAAATGGTAGTAATAAATACAAACATTAATTTCATCGTATATCAAATTGCTAGCATAGACAAAAAATTACTTCAAACAACTTTTAAACTTTAAACTTCAATACTATAGAATATATTTAAGGACAAAAAAGGGCAAACAAATCTTAAGTTTGACTCCATCTGCTTACTGTTAATAGTAATATTGATGCTGTAATTTTGTGACTATTATATATTTACTATTTGCTTTATACTAATACATATATTTACTATTACTTTAACAGATTTACCGTTTGCTTTATACTTATATAAATGTAGTCATTAGATTATAAATATATGTTTACACAAAGCAAACAGAAAATATATTAATATAACTGGGAGCCAAGATTTTCCTTGTAATGGAAAGAGAATAAAATAGAAACATAGAGGCAAAGAGAAAAGCTCTATACTGCTAAATTTTTATTGAAAATATCTACATGAACTTGTGATTTCTATTATACTTTTTACTTTTATTTATCAAAGCATGATATACATACTAAATGTACTCATGATTTTACACACACACACACACACATACACACACACATTTCCCAGCTCTGT